ATTCATCCCGCAAAAGCTATAAACCTGTCAAAATCACTTATCTTTTCAAAGACCGAATATGCAATCTCATCGATGGCTCACAGACCAATGTATATAAACAAGAAGCTAACAAGCTTTCAAAATCAGTTGTTAAGAAAAAATTTGGGACTGGTGCCTTCCACTCCAAATCATGTGGTATACGCTCTTGCTGGTATGCTACCAACAGATTTAAGAGCTCAACATTTGGCGGCTAAAGAATTGATAAGACTTAAAATATACAACTCTTCTCTGTATGAATACTTCACCTCAAATATCTCAAGAAAAACTAGTCTTGGATATGTCTATACAAAGTTTCGCACAATTTTTGAAAATCTCAAAATTGGTTACAACCAACATCCGACCAACAAGTTAGATTTCATGCTGGATATATTTAATACTACCAAAAACAATACACCAACAGAATATTTCAAAGCACACTACTACGAATTAATTAACGACTTCAGATCCGAAGGCGTTTCTATTTGGGCGACGGATGCTGCTGTTTTTAACAACAACTCAGGCTGCGCTGTCTGCAATATATCTGCTAATCAAAATTTTGTTTTCAAAATTAATGAAAAACTTTCTTCTCTTACTGGTGAACTATGTGCAATTGAAAAGGCAATTGATTTGATGATCGAAGACGGTGTCAGCACAGCTGCTTTATTTACAGACAGCAAAAATGCTTGTCTTCTGCTTAAAAACAACACATCTCACAATTTCACTGTGTACAATATTCTAAACAAAATAGTTAATTCGCATTTAATTAAAATCTCGTTTGTTTGGACACCTTCCCATGTCGGTATACCAATCAATGAAACAGCCGATTATTTTGCGAAGCATGCAGCAAATGTTGGTTCACCAATCAACTTCTGTCTGTCGGTCACAAATGCGTCGAAACGCATTGAGTCACTCCTGTGGAATGAGTTTATAGAAAATTACAAGGACATCTCACGGACTAAAGGAACTTACTTCTACCAATTCTTCCCGGCGCCTGCTAAACAGCCCTGGTTCTTTTCATCAAACATGAAACCTGAAAACATAAAGATTGTTAATCGATTGCTCACTGGTCATACTTACACCAAAAAATATTTCCACAGGATTGGAATTGCTGACTCAAATCTATGTGAAACCTGCAACGAAATTGAAGATGAAAAACACATAATTTTTTTCTGCAAAAAGCATCAAAATCATAGGAATGATTTTGATTTGTTCAAGAAATTTAATAACTTACCGGAAATCCTGATGTCCAAAAACCAACAAAATATAGATGAATTAATCAACTTTATTGCACTTTGCAAAATTGAAGTTTGACTTTTATTTGTAAATAATCATCATATTTGCTTACAGTTTCTTATGTATTCCATTCATATCACTACATTCTGTAAACACACATATACTGTAAACAAAAAGAAAACGAAAATAAAAGAGTACTGATACTTTTCAAGTAAACAATAACCGGTCATGGTGAATGGGCACGAAAGTGTTCTAACCACCAACATACTTGACGACGTAGAAGTACACTCTGTCAGTACCCTAAGCATAGACGCTCTAAATTGTTCTGGTATCTTTTCATCGCGGAGTCGGAGAAGGCGAGCAAAGTCAAACAATTTATTTTCAATGTTAGTGATTATAACATTACAATAATGCCTAAACGCAAGTGTACTTTTAACATTTCTTTGCAAAATAAGTATCCATTTATAAAACAAAGAAGTGGTGAATCAGACGTTACGTGTGAAAAATGTCGTACTGATTTTAGTGTTGGACATGGTGGTGCCAGTGATATTGAGAAGCATTTAAAATAAAAAACACAAGCTTTCTGATCAAGCTGCCGCTTCAAGCTCGTCAATGCTTTCTTTTTTTAAAAGAACAAATTTGGCGACTCCCAAAGACTTGGATATAGCTGCAGCGGAGGGTGCGTGGGCGTACCACACAGTGCAAGAAAACCACAGTTTTCGTTCGAATGACTGTGCTTCAAATCTAATACAAACATGTTTTGAGCAAAAATTTACAAAATCACAAGCTATAGTTGTAAATGTGCTGGCACCTATGGCGATGGACGAATTGAAAGAACACCTTCACGAAGCCCACTGCATATCTTTATTAACTGATGCTTCCAATCATGGCTCAATAAAATTATTCCCTGTTTTAGTTCGATATTTTGTACCATACGAAGGCGTGAGAGTCAGGATTTTAGAGTTTCAAAAGCAGCCAGGCGAATCATCTGATATAATTGTGGATTATTTGAAAGAAGTATTATCTTGCAATGATTTGAATAAGAAAATTGTGGCATTTTGTGCAGACAATACAAACTGCAATTTCGGAGGAAAGAATAGAAAAGGGATAAATAATGTTTACGCGAAATTGAACCTATCCGTCGGAAGGCAGCTCATTGGGATTGGGTGTGGAGCCCATATAATTCATAATGCTATCAAAACAGCCGCAGATTGTCTCCCTGTTGACTTCGAATGCATCATTGTGAAAATTTATTCATTCTTCTACATCTACAGCATTCGGGTAGAAGTTCTGAAAGAGTTCTGTGATTCCACCGACACAGAGTATCAGAAACTGTTGGGCTACAGTAAAACAATACAAACTGCAATTTCGGAGGAAAGAATAGAAAAGGGATAAATAATGTTTACGCGAAATTGAACCTATCCGTCGGAAGGCAGCTCATTGGGATTGGGTGTGGAGCCCATATAATTCATAATGCTATCAAAACAGCCGCAGATTGTCTCCCTGTTGACTTCGAATGCATCATTGTGAAAATTTATTCATTCTTCTACATCTACAGCATTCGGGTAGAAGTTCTGAAAGAGTTCTGTGATTCCACCGACACAGAGTATCAGAAACTGTTGGGCTACAGTAAAACAAGGTGGCTTGCTTTAATGCCGGCGCTTGAGAGAATTCTAAAAATGTTTCAGCCTTTGAAAGCCTATTTTCTGAGCATAGATAAATGCCCTACTATTTTAAAAACGTTTTTCGAAAATCCCAGCTCTGAATTATGGTTATATTTTTTGCACGCACAGACAGCGATTTTTCATCAAGCCGTGTTGAAAATCGAGGGACAAAACGTGCCCGCAATAGAGTCTGCGAATGAAATTAATCGTCTCCGAGATAACTTAGAACTTAAAGAGAATTCGATTTTCCTTCCTCATTCCGTCCGCAATCTACTGGTAAAATTACAAAAAACTGACGTTGCTGTTGATGAGCAGAATGTGAAAACTGCGGCAGCGGATTTTTATAAGACAAGTAAAGAATACTTGGAACAGTGGTACCAGTTCAATGCACAACTAGCAGTATTTGAATGGTCAAATTTGAGAAAAGTCCCTACTTGGGAAGACGTACAGAATATGACGGATTTGCTGATCACACAAAGATTTCTTACCAGTAGCCAAGATACGGAGGTGTTCGATGAGTTTTCGCTTATTTCCAGTTACGTCACAGTTGAAAAAATCAAAAGCTGGAACGATGAGAATGTTGCTACTGAAGACCGTTGGGTGGAGCTGTTTAAACACTTCCGTGCTAATAATCTCAACTGCACAAACTTTCGCACAATTATTGAGTATTGGTTATGTATGCCTGGAAGTAACGCACCTGTCGAAAGAGTTTTTTCCCTAATGAATAAAATATGGACAAGTGAAAAAACGCAGTTAAGTGTGACAGTTTTAAAATCTATTTTAATTACTAAGACTAACATCAACAAACAATGTAATCAGCTCCATTCCTACTTGAAAACTAGACCCGATATTTTAAAACTGATTTGCTCTGCTGACAAATATAAAACAAATACTTAGACATAAGATTAATTTCATAAATTAGATTTATACGTATTCTCTCCGTTTTTAAATAAAATTTGGTTTTAAATGCATAATTTTTTTTTTTTACAAAATTCCGCAGGCTTCCCGCTCTGACGAAAAATATAAATGGTCACATTAGGCATACCTAGAAAAAAATTGTAATTAGCTGGGAGCTCTACCTTACCTTTTTATTGTACCATGGGTATACCCTTTTTTGATATAAAATTTCACTGCAAAGCAATGTGAACTTTTTTTTTTGCCTAATAATAGAAAAAATCGCCGTCGTACCTAACAAAACGCCAAAGGCGTTCGGAAACTTTTTTTTGCGGTTTAGGTCGCTGTTCCTTAACTGCAAAAACCACGTTAGATAAAATATTCGTATATTTCATGTTTCCTAAAACTGGAAAATGTAGAATACTTTATGTATGTATGCTGTTAGGTTTCAACTTGAAACGGATGTTAGCTTTTCCACGATTTTCTAGCCAATGCTTGAAGTGTTGAGAGATTAGGACCAACAGCTAACAATTATACATTCAGCGGAATGATGTGAAAGCATTAAAATTAAATATTTTAAGAACTATTCTTCTGTATTTTCAATTTAATAATCCAAATTCCAAATCACAGACCAATGTATATAAACAAGAAGCTAACAAGCTTTCAAAATCAGTTGTTAAGAAAAAATTTGGGACTGGTGCCTTCCACTCCAAATCATGTGGTATACGCTCTTGCTGGTATGCTACCAACAGATTTAAGAGCTCAACATTTGGCGGCTAAAGAATTGATAAGACTTAAAATATACAACTCTTCTCTGTATGAATACTTCACCTCAAATATCTCAAGAAAAACTAGTCTTGGATATGTCTATACAAAGTTTCGCACAATTTTTGAAAATCTCAAAATTGGTTACAACCAACATCCGACCAACAAGTTAGATTTCATGCTGGATATATTTAATACTACCAAAAACAATACACCAACAGAATATTTCAAAGCACACTACTACGAATTAATTAACGACTTCAGATCCGAAGGCGTTTCTATTTGGGCGACGGATGCTGCTGTTTTTAACAACAACTCAGGCTGCGCTGTCTGCAATATATCTGCTAATCAAAATTTTGTTTTCAAAATTAATGAAAAACTTTCTTCTCTTACTGGTGAACTATGTGCAATTGAAAAGGCAATTGATTTGATGATCGAAGACGGTGTCAGCACAGCTGCTTTATTTACAGACAGCAAAAATGCTTGTCTTCTGCTTAAAAACAACACATCTCACAATTTCACTGTGTACAATATTCTAAACAAAATAGTTAATTCGCATTTAATTAAAATCTCGTTTGTTTGGACACCTTCCCATGTCGGTATACCAATCAATGAAACAGCCGATTATTTTGCGAAGCATGCAGCAAATGTTGGTTCACCAATCAACTTCTGTCTGTCGGTCACAAATGCGTCGAAACGCATTGAGTCACTCCTGTGGAATGAGTTTATAGAAAATTACAAGGACATCTCACGGACTAAAGGAACTTACTTCTACCAATTCTTCCCGGCGCCTGCTAAACAGCCCTGGTTCTTTTCATCAAACATGAAACCTGAAAACATAAAGATTGTTAATCGATTGCTCACTGGTCATACTTACACCAAAAAATATTTCCACAGGATTGGAATTGCTGACTCAAATCTATGTGAAACCTGCAACGAAATTGAAGATGAAAAACACATAATTTTTTTCTGCAAAAAGCATCAAAATCATAGGAATGATTTTGATTTGTTCAAGAAATTTAATAACTTACCGGAAATCCTGATGTCCAAAAACCAACAAAATATAGATGAATTAATCAACTTTATTGCACTTTGCAAAATTGAAGTTTGACTTTTATTTGTAAATAATCATCATATTTGCTTACAGTTTCTTATGTATTCCATTCATATCACTACATTCTGTAAACACACATATACTGTAAACAAAAAGAAAACGAAAATAAAAGAGTACTGATACTTTTCAAGTAAACAATAACCGGTCATGGTGAATGGGCACGAAAGTGTTCTAACCACCAACATACTTGACGACGTAGAAGTACACTCTGTCAGTACCCTAAGCATAGACGCTCTAAATTGTTCTGGTATCTTTTCATCGCGGAGTCGGAGAAGGCGAGCAAAGTCAAACAATTTATTTTCAATGTTAGTGATTATAACATTACAATAATGCCTAAACGCAAGTGTACTTTTAACATTTCTTTGCAAAATAAGTATCCATTTATAAAACAAAGAAGTGGTGAATCAGACGTTACGTGTGAAAAATGTCGTACTGATTTTAGTGTTGGACATGGTGGTGCCAGTGATATTGAGAAGCATTTAAAATCGAAAAAACACAAGCTTTCTGATCAAGCTGCCGCTTCAAGCTCGTCAATGCTTTCTTTTTTTAAAAGAACAAATTTGGCGACTCCCAAAGACTTGGATATAGCTGCAGCGGAGGGTGCGTGGGCGTACCACACAGTGCAAGAAAACCACAGTTTTCGTTCGAATGACTGTGCTTCAAATCTAATACAAACATGTTTTGAGCAAAAATTTACAAAATCACAAGCTATAGTTGTAAATGTGCTGGCACCTATGGCGATGGACGAATTGAAAGAACACCTTCACGAAGCCCACTGCATATCTTTATTAACTGATGCTTCCAATCATGGCTCAATAAAATTATTCCCTGTTTTAGTTCGATATTTTGTACCATACGAAGGCGTGAGAGTCAGGATTTTAGAGTTTCAAAAGCAGCCAGGCGAATCATCTGATATAATTGTGGATTATTTGAAAGAAGTATTATCTTGCAATGATTTGAATAAGAAAATTGTGGCATTTTGTGCAGACAATACAAACTGCAATTTCGGAGGAAAGAATAGAAAAGGGATAAATAATGTTTACGCGAAATTGAACCTATCCGTCGGAAGGCAGCTCATTGGGATTGGGTGTGGAGCCCATATAATTCATAATGCTATCAAAACAGCCGCAGATTGTCTCCCTGTTGACTTCGAATGCATCATTGTGAAAATTTATTCATTCTTCTACATCTACAGCATTCGGGTAGAAGTTCTGAAAGAGTTCTGTGATTCCACCGACACAGAGTATCAGAAACTGTTGGGCTACAGTAAAACAATACAAACTGCAATTTCGGAGGAAAGAATAGAAAAGGGATAAATAATGTTTACGCGAAATTGAACCTATCCGTCGGAAGGCAGCTCATTGGGATTGGGTGTGGAGCCCATATAATTCATAATGCTATCAAAACAGCCGCAGATTGTCTCCCTGTTGACTTCGAATGCATCATTGTGAAAATTTATTCATTCTTCTACATCTACAGCATTCGGGTAGAAGTTCTGAAAGAGTTCTGTGATTCCACCGACACAGAGTATCAGAAACTGTTGGGCTACAGTAAAACAAGGTGGCTTGCTTTAATGCCGGCGCTTGAGAGAATTCTAAAAATGTTTCAGCCTTTGAAAGCCTATTTTCTGAGCATAGATAAATGCCCTACTATTTTAAAAACGTTTTTCGAAAATCCCAGCTCTGAATTATGGTTATATTTTTTGCACGCACAGACAGCGATTTTTCATCAAGCCGTGTTGAAAATCGAGGGACAAAACGTGCCCGCAATAGAGTCTGCGAATGAAATTAATCGTCTCCGAGATAACTTAGAACTTAAAGAGAATTCGATTTTCCTTCCTCATTCCGTCCGCAATCTACTGGTAAAATTACAAAAAACTGACGTTGCTGTTGATGAGCAGAATGTGAAAACTGCGGCAGCGGATTTTTATAAGACAAGTAAAGAATACTTGGAACAGTGGTACCAGTTCAATGCACAACTAGCAGTATTTGAATGGTCAAATTTGAGAAAAGTCCCTACTTGGGAAGACGTACAGAATATGACGGATTTGCTGATCACACAAAGATTTCTTACCAGTAGCCAAGATACGGAGGTGTTCGATGAGTTTTCGCTTATTTCCAGTTACGTCACAGTTGAAAAAATCAAAAGCTGGAACGATGAGAATGTTGCTACTGAAGACCGTTGGGTGGAGCTGTTTAAACACTTCCGTGCTAATAATCTCAACTGCACAAACTTTCGCACAATTATTGAGTATTGGTTATGTATGCCTGGAAGTAACGCACCTGTCGAAAGAGTTTTTTCCCTAATGAATAAAATATGGACAAGTGAAAAAACGCAGTTAACTGTGACAGTTTTAAAATCTATTTTAATTACTAAGACTAACATCAACAAACAATGTAATCAGCTCCATTCCTACTTGAAAACTAGACCCGATATTTTAAAACTGATTTGCTCTGCTGACAAATATAAAACAAATACTTAGACATAAGATTAATTTCATAAATTAGATTTATACGTATTCTCTCCGTTTTTAAATAAAATTTGGTTTTAAATGCATAATTTTTTTTTTTTACAAAATTCCGCAGGCTTCCCGCTCTGACGAAAAATATAAATGGTCACATTAGGCATACCTAGAAAAAAATTGTAATTAGCTGGGAGCTCTACCTTACCTTTTTATTGTACCATGGGTATACCCTTTTTTGATATAAAATTTCACTGCAAAGCAATGTGAACTTTTTTTTTTGCCTAATAATAGAAAAAATCGCCGTCGTACCTAACAAAACGCCAAAGGCGTTCGGAAACTTTTTTTTGCGGTTTAGGTCGCTGTTCCTTAACTGCAAAAACCACGTTAGATAAAATATTCGTATATTTCATGTTTCCTAAAACTGGAAAATGTAGAATACTTTATGTATGTATGCTGTTAGGTTTCAACTTGAAACGGATGTTAGCTTTTCCACGATTTTCTAGCCAATGCTTGAAGTGTTGAGAGATTAGGACCAACAGCTAACAATTATACATTCAGCGGAATGATGTGAAAGCATTAAAATTAAATATTTTAAGAACTATTCTTCTGTATTTTCAATTTAATAATCCAAATTCCAAAAATGTATATTTATGAAATTAAAATAATTTTATTGGAAACTAATTATTTTATTTACATATTTGGACACATAACTCTGATACTTGTATTACGTACAAAAACAAATTTGTATGTGGTTTTTGTTACGAATGTTGCACAACACATCTTGCTGTTACCTGTATTTTTCTACCATGGATATAAAACTGGAAAATGTAGAATACTTTATGTATGTATGCTGTTAGGTTTCAACTTGAAACGGATGTTAGCTTTTCCACGATTTTCTAGCCAATGCTTGAAGTGTTGAGAGATTAGGACCAACAGCTAACAATTATACATTCAGCGGAATGATGTGAAAGCATTAAAATTAAATATTTTAAGAACTATTCTTCTGTATTTTCAATTTAATAATCCAAATTCCAAAAATGTATATTTATGAAATTAAAATAATTTTATTGAAAACTAATTATTTTATTTACATATTTGGACATATAACTCTGATACTTGTATTACGTACAAAAACAAATTTGTATGTGGTTGTTGTTACGATTGTTGCAAAACACATCTTGCTGTTAACTGTATTTTTCTACCATGGATATAAAGCATAGACAAATTAAGATATAGACAACGAAAAGTTAGTTTTGTATTTTTATCCAGGTGGCTCTCATCATGTTTTACATAGTCAACATGCTGATTTACTCGTTCAAACCACTCGACTTCGAAAACACATTTTATCGTTTTTCAAGATTTTCACTTGTTTTCCCGAATTTTTCGATGTCATCACGTACTTTTCTCATTTCTTTTGTCATGGAACAATTTTCAATTGACAAATATCCTACATATATTTGTAACATTTAAAAGTTGAGTGATTTCAATATTCCCACGCAAACCCCTGAAACGATATAGACGACATCTGTTGATCCGAATTTTTTCGAAAATAAACGGTGAGAGCATTTCTTTGTCTATATCATGGTAGAAGAATATAGGTAGACGCGTCGACACAGCTGCTGGGACAATGAACTGTCAAACCAATTTTGAAATTGAAAATGTTGAATGAAAAATTATTTAAATCTGTAAAAATTGTTGAAAAATGCGAATTATAATAGCCTCCGAATGACGTAGTATAAGGAAACATATAAAAATCTACTTATATTTAAAAAAACATTTACATTTTTTGACATATCAACGCTCCCAAGCGTTGATGCATCTACCTGTATTCTTCTGCCATGGTCTATATTTTAATTTGTCTATGTATAAAGTTGCACTCATGGTAGAAGAATACAGGTAGTCGCATCGACACAGCTGCTGGGACAATGAACTGTCAAACCTATTTTGAAAATGTTGAATGAAAAATGATTAAAATTTGTAAAAATTGTTGAAAAATTCATATTATAACAACCTCTGATTTACGTCGTATAAAGAAAAACTTTTAAAAATCCACTTATTTTTCATAAAACATTTTAAAATTATTGCACTGCAACAATGGTAGAAGGATATAGGTAGAAGCATCAACGATTGGGAACATTGATGTTAATATTTTTCAAATGTTTTCTTATACGACGCAAATTGGATGTTATTATGATATGCATTTTTATTTTTTTTTACAAATTTCTATAATTTTGCATTCAACATTTTCAATTCCAAAATCGGTTAGTCAACTTATTTTCCCAGCGGCTGTGTCGATGCGACTACCTATATATTTCTACCATGGTAGCCATCTGTTGATACAATAAATTGTCCAACATTTTTAAATGAAGATGTGTTTATATTAGATAATTTATGTTTTGTGTTTTTCCCTTAATATAAATTGGTTAAAAACACGCATCCTCTTAATAACATAATATAAGAAAATATGTTAAAATTAATTTACTTTTGCAAAAATTTCTTAATATTCTTGGGAATTATCAATGTCCACAAGCCTTATACATATACCTTCATTTTCTTACCATGACTGGTAATTCGATAGCACGTCAGCCATGGCAGAAGAATACTGGTACAATGACAATGTAAAACCAATTTTGGAATTGAAAATGTTGAAAGAAAAATTTTTTAATTTGTAAAATATGTTGAAAAACGTGAATTATAAAAACCTCCGAACGACCTCGTATAAGAAAACATAAAAATCTACAAACACATTTAAAGTTTTTTGACATAATGTTCCCAAGCATTGATGCGTCTACCTGTATTTTTCTACTATTGTCGTCAGCATACTATGCAACAAAAAACTGAAATCTGAACTAAAAATATCATGCTAATTTCAGATGTAAAGATGTGGGTACATTAGCACAAGCAGAATATCATAATTTGATATTAATATGCCTAGTCATGATGCCAAGCTCCAAAAGGCATTATTAAACACATTTCCAAAGAAAGAATTGCTTTTTCTTTTTGATTTTTAAAATAAATTTTCAAATACGACAACACTGACTAGTTGAGTTACGGCGATAAAATGGACAAACGACTTGGCGTAATTATTTCAAATGACAAATAATTTTAACGAAAATAATGCTGCCAAGTTTTCTTATGTTATTTAAAACTAAAAGGTAACATAAACAGAAAAAGTAAGCGTCATTTATAGCGTCGCACCTTGGTAGGATATCGTCAAGAAACAATCAGAAATCACAGAAAGAAATTAAAATTAAACTATCTTTGTGAGAATGGGCCGAAAACGAAAAGTTCCTTTAGCTGCAGGCGAAGAAAAAGAGAACGAGCTTCAAAGTACTAGCACATCCACGCACAACACATCATTAATTAACAATGGGCCAATATATACCATTATGTCTAAAATACAACTTAATGAAACATATCACAAGAAATATATAAAGGAACTCCGACAAATTTACGGAAAAGTAAGTATGCAAATAACAGGCGGATTATATATATATATATATTAACATTTACAACATGTATTTTTGTAGATGGACCACGATGCGTTCATTTACACATTTATAAAAATGATCAAATCGGCCATGGTTGCAGATGAAACTAATGAATTCGCTCATACAACCCTCTTATTTTGCGCAAAATTTGTTGGTTCCTTTGAGGGAGATGAAACACACCCGCTATTGGCTGATACGTGTCGGTGGCTGTTGACTGTAAGTATTCAGCGGAGTTAAGAATTCAGTCTCTCTAATGAAAGCAAATCTGATTATTTTAGACTATTTCTAATAATCCACATGTACGGTTCCGACTGTGTCAGTTTGTTAATATGATATTGAATGCGTTGGGACAGGAAGCGACATTGGACGATGTTATATGTGATAATATCTTGGAGTATATGGTTGGTCGATTGGTAGATGTTGCACCCAGTGTACGTGTTCAAGCAATACTCGCTATGCAGCGTTTGCAAGTCCCAGACAATCCAGACGATCCTGTGTTACGTTCATATCAATATCATTTGTGCTCTGATCCATCACCTCGAGTTAGGCAAGCGGTTATTACATGTATGGGACGGAATTATCACACAATTCCCTATATTTTGGATCGTTTATGGGATATAGATGATAAAGTGAGACGACATACGTATTTACACATGAGTAGTTTTCCAGTCCGATCATATAAGGTCTCACAACGTCTAATGTTACTGGAACAAGGATTGAATGATCGCAATGAATCAGTCCGAAAAGTAGTAACTACTATTATGTTGCAGCAGTGGATTGAATCGTATCAAAAAGACATAGTGGGATTGATTGGTGCCCTGAAATTAGACTCAAATGAGAATGAATTGAATCGTTTCCGTAGAATTGGAAAACAAGCCCTAAGCGAAATTTTTAAGTGAGTACATTCATGGTATCTTCCCGTAATTGTCTGAATTTTCTGCTACAGGTACATATATTTGGGTAATCATCCTGAAAAATATTTGATTATATGAACCTCTTTTATTATGATTTTTATTTTCCTTGACGGCCAAGACAATTATTAACACTGCTATATTTGTGATTATAATATTTTTGGAGCATGTTGGGTTTATGTGTTTTAAAACTGATTACGGCAAATTGATTGTTTTCATAGGGGAAATACCTGGTTACCCGGATATTCGACCCGGAAGTTCTGATACATAGTGGAAAAAAATCTCTTTTTCATGATTTTTATCAGTAATTTCATCGGAACTGCAAGATATATCAACACATACAGGAAAAGCCAGAGTATAGGCTGTAATGAAGTATGTACTGGCATGTCACAAAATCGTATCGTATTCCAAATCTTCATTTTTGCTTTAGCTTCTTCAGATTTCGTACGATATGGCGAACTACGATTTCCGTGTAAATATGACAACAATATTCAATATGGTAACATTAGGGGAATTAAGGAACGAGTGAATGATGAATCTGTTCAAGAGTTTTTTTTTTTTTTTGTGCAAAAAGAAACATTGCAATTGATTCCTCAATTTCACTGAGCACATATTTGTCGAAAGGACCACCACTAGTTTTCGCATTTTATTTTTTATTGGGACACATTTTTATAACGTTTACTGTTCAGTCTGACCATGTCGCTTTCCATCCATTGCAATCTTTGGTTGTTGTTGTTGCAGCAGTAGTACATGGAGGTGTTTGCGGCCTGCTAATCTGGTTCCAGCTCCAGGTTTAGAAATTCGGCTACTTTGATGGACTGTAGCCAGAGATCTTCTAGAGTGAGTTGGGTAGGTAGGTTTGGCTGTGCAATTAAAGCGGTGCAGCCTATTATTCGGGCCTGTATCACACGCCGGGCAGGCGTCACGCTGATCTTCATCAATTCATGCCCAATTCGAATTGAGACGACTACACCATTCTGAACGTAATTGCGCCAAAACTACCCTGGTTTGTCCGAGGACGGCATTCATTTTATAGCTGCTAATTGCATCCGTGACTGCGTCGGTATGAATGCCACTAAGACCTGCCTGACCTGCCTCCTCATGTAGATGGTCCACTGGTGTCATGAGAAGGCAACCTGTCGCAGTTCTCCGGGCAGCGTTCTGCCAGGTCTGGATATGCTTCAACTGCGTAACACTAGTATTCGCAGACCACACTGGAGCCGCATAGCTGACCACAGACCGACTTATCGCGTTACAAGAGGTCAACAAGGTTTCCCTGTCCGCACCCCAAGTGCTGCCGGCTAGTGCCTTGAGGACCTTGTTCCTACTTTTCATCTTGTCGCAGATAGCTGTGGCTTGTGCGGACGACTTGAACATGCTGTCGAATGTGACCCCCTAGAATCTTGGGGTAGTTCCTGGTCGGTATTAAATTTCCCTGCACATTCAGCTGTGTTCTCGTCTCGGCAGACCATGTGGTAAAGTGTGTGGCCGTGGATTTCGTGGCGGATATTTTCATATTCCTCGCGTGGAAGTATGCGACAAGCTCCACGAGATAGGGGTTCAGCCTTTCAAATATGTCATCGACCACTGGGCCCGACGCCATGATCGTACAATCATCCGCATACGTTACGATATCTGTGCCGTCTGGAGGGCGAGGATTTCCGGAAAGATTGAGATTAAACAGTTCCGGAGATATCACCCCACCTTGAGGAACTCCCTGTTCCACTCCACGGGCTTTGGATTGGCGTCCACACATATAGTTGATTATCCAACGTTTCAACTTTGGCCGGAGGGTGGTTCTCTGCACGCCTTTAAAGAGTGTGGCGTGATTGACCTATCTTATGATAGGTCAAGGGCCTAAATGATCTAAATGCCTTTTGATAGGTCAAGGGCTACCAACACTGTTCTGTCAAACGGCTTGTTCTGGTTCAGTCCTCTACTAATATGTGTGGAAATGGCGTGTAATGCTGCTGTGGCACTATGTTGTGAACGGAATCCATGCTGATGGTTGACAACTGGATAGCTTCCTCTAATGCTGGGGAGGAGTAAAGCCTCAAGAGTCTTAGCTACTGGCGACAAAAGCGAAATCGGCCTCTACAATTCGCCTTTGCTGGCATCCTTACCTGGCTTCAGTAGCGGGACCACACGGCCCATTTTCCAGGTTTCGTCACTATGGGTAGCTAGAGACATATTGAGAACTTTCGTTAGGTACTCGATTCCCGGCGTATCCAGCTGTTTCAACATTACCATTGAGATTCCGTCCAGGCCCAACGCTTTGGATGAATTTGCGTTCCGGATGACATTTGCAACATCACCCATCGTAAACAGTGGTTAATCGTGCAGAATGTGGAGCAGTCAATTTGCTCTGTAAGCGCTGATCCCCTCTGGTCATTACCTAGGACGGAATGCCACAACTCATGGTGGGCATTAAAATCCCCTAGTACCAAGCGGTTATTGCGTACTAAAGGGCTGCAAATGTGACAATTTTCTCTATTTATGCCATGGAGAGAAAACGCTCGTCATGTTGTGCCCTGTTTGATCAAACGCATAACAGTACGTGACGTCCAACCAAATGCTCGATGACTCGTCATGTCGGTCACACTCAAACCTATCGTCATAACATGTAATGACCAATAAAAGGGAATGTTGAATAGTGTGTCATACAAAAATGTTCTATCAAAAAAACATCAACAATTATGAAACAATATATATAAACAAGTGATGTACATTGTTACATGATTAAGGTGAATCTTTACAGCAACTATTTGAATATCCAGCTGTGTGGGGAAGAATATTTCGTCAGCAGGAATTTGAGAAGAAATGAGCACTCCACGGCCTCTACTTTTTAAACTATTAGTACGATCGCATCTAAACATTTGAAATTTGGAACATAAAATTTCAGCGTCGTAGATATTGCTCGAAAGCCAAGTTTCTGTAAATGCGATAACACGATAATTCGAAAAATAGCTGTTTATATAAGGAAGATAGTTTAGCGTTTAAACATCTATCATTCTGACAAACTAGATTATAATTATCAACATGATAATTTGAGTGTTTGGTAGATATACAATATCAGGTTTCGGAACTTCTCTATTTTACATGAATATATTATAATGGCTTTTGGGGGCCAAAAAGATGGACTAACAATGATTTCAAAAATATCTTCAGGAACAGCAATTGTTGCAATTGCAAAACAATTTGTTGCAGCACCAGCGCAAACCTTTATTTTCCCTTAAATTATCAGCGGTTCGTGTTGATAGTTGGACAAACGTCACGTGATAAGAATCCAGACATAGCCAAAAGGATACAATTGGTTTATAGGGAACTAATTGTTTACAATTGATCATAGAACAATTAATTATTGTGATTTAGATTATTTGCCAACAGTGATCTTCCTTCGAAAGCTTAGTAACAAATTCAACAGGTGTTCTAAAAAGCTTTTAAGATGAATTTGTACACTTTTCAGGATGTAAACAAAGTTACAGAAACTGTAGTAAAAGTAACGACGCGGTGACAGCAACGCAATGTTAAATATGATGGATTGCAGCTAGACTGTGATTCTTGTACCAATCACACAGCAAAAAGGAAACCAGTAGAAAAAAGCAATGGTTACCCATTTATTTGTTTTGCAAACGAAAAAACATTGTTTGCGACGAAAAACTAAAATTTATGTACACAATTCGATTAGATTATTGGCTGGGCAGCGAAATTGGTGCAGCGTGTCATGTGGGCAGATGTTCTGCACATCGCTGTCAATCGGGCCCAATATAATTGAGGCGGCTACACAATCCGGACTACTCGCTTTTGTCGGGGCAACTCTCGCTCTTGAGATGCGATGGGAGAAGGGGATGGTCTCCTACTACGGTATTTACTTTATATCCTTCCATGACTTCTGGGACCGCATCAGAGTGAATACCACACAGTCCTGCTTGATAGGCCTGTTGATCTAGGGGCTCTCTCTTATACCTCTGTACCTCTCTCTATAGATCATTTTATTTCATTCTATTTATTTATCTTACTGTGCAATTATATATCTACAATGATCTAATAGAATACAAATTCTAATATTTATTAAAATTTAACAAATAACAGATCACACCTAATAATTTATCTTAAGAATCGTGAAGGTCTTTCCTTATGTGTCTAGGCGGAGGTTGCCTATCCACCAGATGGTGATTGGGGTGGCTCTGTGTGTAACACCCAAGCAGGTATTGCATTGACAACATTTTATTATGCTGTCGCATCGGTAAGACCTTTGCCTCCTCATATAGATGGTCAGGTGTCATGAGGTGACACCTTGTCGCATTTCTCAGGGCAGCATTCTGGCAAGTCTGGATATTCTTCCACTTGAACGACTTGAACATGCTGTCGAATGTGGCCTCTAAGTCTTGAGGTAGCTCGTGGTCGGTATTATATATCCCTCGACCTGTAGATTCAGCTCTTTTCTTATTTCCGCAAGCCATGTGGTAAAGAGTGTGGTGGTTGATTTCGTGGTCAGTCCACGTAGGACTTGCGTCCACAAATATAGTTGATTATCCAACGTTTAAAACTTGGCCGGAGTGTAGTTTTCTCTACATCCTCAAACAGTGTGGTGTGGTTGGCGGTATCAAATGCCTTTGATAGCTCAAGGACTATCGACTGATGTGTGTGGATGCGTGCAATGCTGTTGTGGTGGTGTATTGTGGACGGAATCCATGTAAATTGTTGGCAACTGGATAACTTTTGCTGATGCTTGGGAGGAGTAAAGCCTCAGGAGTCTTTACTACAGGCGACAAAAGCGAAATTAACCTGTATGATACGCATTTGCCGACATCCTTGCCTTGCTTCAATAGCGGGAACCCTCGGCCCATTTTCCAGGCTTCGGGAACGATCTGGGTGGCTAACGACAGGTTGAAAACTTTTGGCAGGACTTAGCGTTTCGGATGACATTTGTAACATCATTCAACGTAAACTGTGGCGGTGTATCTTCGACCAGCAGGTATAT